GGTCCTTAACCCTTGAACTCCCAAGATCAAATTATTAATTCTCCCCTCTAGTTGCTACAAATTTCCTTGTGAATCAGTTATGAGAACTTAGTGTTAGATCAAGAAAACAACTTCTACATGATAAGTCGGAGTTTTCTCAATACCTGTTTGCAGGATATTGTATGGATATTATAGGGAGAAATTCCATGTTAATCACTTCTGGGAGTTAAAGAGTAAAGCACATGAACTGAATTTCTTTAATATATCACTACTGTTAACTTAACGCCACTAGGCTAGCGAAATGCAAACAGAGAAAGAGAAGTTTGAGGCAACAGTTGGGGCAATGTCAAAGCAGTTAATGGACTTTGTTGAGAAAATGAACAAACTGGAGGTGGAAGCTGTAAGTTCAAGTTGAACAATTCCTGTTCAATGTCAACTGAATTTGGAAAAACTGTAATTTTGAGCTGAGACCTGTATAATTTTATCATAGATGAAGTACAAGAGAGATTGTTCATTAGTGGTACAGCTTTTGAAGTGTAACCAGTCCCTGGACAGGAAGTTTGTTTCTCAAAAAATGGATACGGTGAGCAAACCATCCCCTTTACACAGAGTATTCATGATGTATGTTAGATAATAAATTGTAAATAATTTACCATGAATTAATCTTTAAAGTACCATTATTGTAACACTTACTATGATCATTTTCATTATCATTGTACTTATTATTATCATGATCATTTTTTTTACTCAGGGTTGTCAAAAATATTTTCATTTACAGGACTGTGATACAAAGTAGGCAGCACTAAACCATGTTATTCCCATGCCATGCTTCTTTTCTGAAAATTAAACCAGAAGCATTCAGAATAGCTGGATGGTACAATTTAAGAATAGAAGGTGAAATGGGCCTTTTGTCAGTTATTTTGACAACCCTGATGTAACCATAACTTAACATCAATACATTTTCTGTTTACTGGACTGGACTAAACATTGACTTAACTTAATCACAAAAAGCTTGCATACAGGATTTGGGTGGAGGTCAATCAGACCTTAGGATTTAAGGGTTTTAAATGAATGTTTCTTTTGTGCTTTTCTAAATCCACAGTTACCATCAGAACTGAAAGACAAGTTGACAACAGAGCTTGACCTTAAAGAAGAAAGACAACCTCTCAGTCATCCAGACTGGAGCAAAAAACTCTGGAGAACAAAGAGTATAGGGCCAACAAATGCAAAAACAGAGCCACAGTCAAAGACTGTACGTACACCTAAGTTCAGTGAATGAGGGATATCAAAAAGTAGTCCATCCACAAACACTTTGAGCATAGTTTGCAGAGTGCATTAGATTTAAGTCATCATCGTGAGCACTTGACACAAGTAAGAATGTGCATGTAGGTTTTTTAACTGAAACTGATTGAATAGTTTAAATTTTAATTTTTTTAAGGCAGCTTTATCAAGATTTTATTGCTAGATAAAATTAAGCAACTGACAGATCTGGCCAATAAATTATATAAATTTTTTTTTTAAGAATGTACCAGCCATCTGGCTAAGCCAGGTAACTCACTGTGTTTGTAAGTGTCCTGACCTAGAAACCCCCCCCCCTAAAGAGCATAGTAAATTCCAGGGGGTTCACTATGCAGTCTGCTGAGGGAATTGAAGTTTGGAAGAGAAGAGTTTAATATTAGGATATTACAGGTGTTAGATCTGTAACACAGTATTTTTTGTAGTAAGTTTTCACTGAGGTGAAAATAGAAGATAATTCTTAAAGCAAAATTATTTTGAAAAATAAAATTTTGAAGTTGAATTTAAGATTGATCAGTATTTTATATGCAGCTGCTGTTTAATATCAAGGAGATAAAACTTGAATTAAATATGAGATATTCATGAACACTTTGTTGCCTGGAAAGGTGTTGTACAAAGATGTTATTTGTCTTGCAAAGAGGGTAGACACAGTTAATTGAATTGTGTTCACTTCCACTGTGTTATGGAGAAAGTGGTCAAAGCCAATCAGAGCATAGATAGTTACTTGTATCTCAAGGAGCCAACATGAACTCAAAGTGAAAACAAGAAAACTGCCAAAAAAACTGGAAAAATGCAAGTGAAGGAGGTGTTTATTGATTTTATTGATTAGTTTTTGTATTAAATCTGGTTGATCAAGTAAGCAGCTGGGAATTTTTGAGGAGTCACTCAGTGTAGTGAAGCAAAACCAAAACAAACCCAGATTACCTCTATACTCATTTAACATTGCACTGACTAATAATGACAGAAACAATGAAACTGCAAATCATGAGGTAATAAATGCAATTGAGCAAAGCAGAATCACTCTTAGTTAATAATATCTGGTCAGTGGAGTGGAAGTTGAGAATGGAGTTTTTTTTTTGACCAATCACAGGGTAGAGGATCTCAAAACCAATTGTAAACAATCCTTGGTTGATCTTGGAACTATTATTTGAAAATTGCTTTGCTCAGAAATTATGTCCAAACTTTAACCTGCCCATCCCACCCACAGGTTGCCACCCAGCTGGGTAGGGTGGGGTGGTACGCAACATCTGTGCATGGAGCAGAGTGAGCCTCTATCGTCCTCATCACACGAGCTGTGCTGTGATCATAGAAAAAAATTTTCCCATCTGCTGAGCCAGAACAAATTATTTTTCCATCAGGACTGAAATCACATCCAATATGATAACCACAAACCTAAAGATTAATAAGAAAGAAGTGCTCAGTTTTATTGAATAGTTTTCTTGTTGAGCTTTTTACATTCCCTTAAAGGATGGATCTGACTTTGAAATCTGCTTTCATGTTACACTTTCTACATCATACAGTTTTCAACATGAGAGTAAAAATCATTGTTTTCTTTATGAATTGTGAATGAACGTTATTTTCGGTGAGCCAAAGACAGGGTGGGAACTGTGGCATGTGAATGGGGATTCCTGACAAGGAATTAATGTGGGGGGTGGGGGAAAGCCTGTTTGAAATAGGCCTGTCACCATAGGGACTCGTGAACTAAAGGACTTTCACTGGAACAATTGTTTTCTCAGATGGACCAACCTTTAATAGGAGGGAATTTTTCAGGATTTTAAACAATAATAAGGCATTTGTTATTGTACTTTATTAAATTTTATTACCTTATGGCCTTCATATCTTTTGAACTTATTCAGCTTATATGGTTTTCTTGTTGAGAACAAAGCAATGTAGTCACCATTTGACTGTGCCACAAAATGTGATTCGTAAGGGTGGACCTTCAAGCAAGTGCATGTAAAGGCTTCCTGAAAATTCCAAAATTAATATACCTTTATCATCCATATGTAAAATTTGAGTGATTAGCATCTAATTTCTCCTTACAATATCACCCCTGAATGACACTTCAAGGTCACAAGAATAAAGGAAATGATCACCAACTGAAGAAGCTCTTGATTGCTCAACAACTTCTCCTTGTCAGCACCTTAGGAAATGTGCAAAGAACAGTACAGAGAATATACATACTGATGTCAGGGTGTAAAGGGTTTGGGGTACTTTGCTTAAAGTGCAGTCTAATAATTACCTGATAAATTTGATTTGATAAAACTGCTGTTGATCTAAAATCCCACACCATGATCCCCTTGTCTGTTGAATTCCGTCTGACAACTTCAGCAGCAGAAACAAATTCTTCTGCTCCTGGTAGAAATGCTATATCCTGTACTTGACCAAATAGAGCTGAGTATGTTGATGCAATCTACAAAAAAATATATATATATATTTCCAGTGAAAATTCTATCCAATTATTATCCTACTGTGGTTCAATAACAAAAAAAATTATTCCCATCAAGTAGAGTTAACCTCAGTGGCTGGCATTTTTTTGGCAGCCTGACCACTTCTATTTGTGTTGAGCACTCAAAAAATCACCAGCTGTGATGGCTTGTTTACAATCTGTTTCCTCCGTGTCTGAGAAATATATAAAACAATGTTCACATTGTAACAGCTCTCACATCAGTTGATAGGAGTTAATCACTAATGCCTGTAATGGGAGTGGTGTCTTGGGCTCCATGGCACTAGCCTCAAAGCTGCAAAACCTCAGGCTAGCCTGCATCTAGGGACTTGGAAAATACTGGACCAATCAATCAGCCTTCACTATCATGTTACATCTCTTTTTCGTCATACACAGGAAAAAAATGCAGCACATCTTGGGGAATTTTGCTGACTTAAATGGATCTCAAAACTCTATCTTCACTCTAAGGTAAAAGGATCTTCTTAAAATAGAAAAATATGTTATTATTCTAAAAATAATTTATTGTTACATGAAGATTTTAGGACATCTGTCCAGTAATTGTGCACTTACACTTCCAGTCCTTCTGTCCCAACATAGAATGGAAGATTTAAAAGTCCCAGCTAGGAACAGGTTGGGATCACTGGGATGAAACTGGACACAAGTCACGTAGTTTCTGTGTGGAAACACTTTGATTTCCTTTCCTGTCAAAATAAGGAGCAACATAAATCAATAAAATAAATTTAAGCATCTAATTTAATCACAGACATGCTTTGTAGCACTAAACATAGGAATATAGAATACACACCAAATCAATAAATGCTTAGCCCAAATAACTAACACTGTCAATACACTACCAAACTGATAACATTAACCCCTTGAAATGCACAAAGAACAAGTGCAAGGGCAGGGGGGGGGGGGGGAGAAAGCTCCAGCTCTCCACGCAAATGTTTGATGAGAGGCTCAGCCCCCAATGTTTCAGGCTCCACAATATTGCTGGCACAGCATAAAATTAGTGTAGCAAAATACTCAGTCTTGTAATCTTTTCAAATCATTTCATCAGGATTATTATATGTGCAAAATTATATGTGGTACTAAGCCTTTTTAGCTTTGAACAGTACCAGCCTGTGTTTCAAGAATAACACATTAGGAATTTTTTGGATAATTTGAGTAACAGTTTTTACCTGGCTTAACCCTTAACTCCTAAGAATGACTAACATCAAATTTTTCCTTACAACTGTATATCACCCTTGAATCAAACATTAAGGTCATGAGGATGAATGAAATGATCACCAACTAAAGAAGTTCTACATTGCTAACCAAACTCTCCTTGTCAGCACCTTAGGAAACATATGGAGAACAGTATGGAGAATATACATACTGATGTTAGGGTGTAAAGGGTTAATATACTGGATGAGTTTCCCCCACCCACCCTCAATCACACACACACACACACTTCAATGTGCTGCACCACGCCTGAGTATACAAGATAACACTCTCCACCTAGTTATGTTTCCCTAACCCTATCACTGGTCTCTTGCTTAATGTTTTCATAATGCAGAGGGAAGTTGTACATTAGTTCACAACTTTTGTTTATACACCACAATAAATGTTTCAAATACCTGTTTCTACATCAAACAGTCTCGCAGTTTTATCATAACCACAACTCAACACTTGTGACCCACAGTGACTCCATTTGGCATCTTTTACTGCTTCAGTATGACATGTCAAACTTTGCATACAAGCTCCACCTTGCTGTGTGTCCCAAACACAAACTGTGTGATCCATTGATGCAGACAACAACAAATGATCATTACTCTCTGTAACATTCCATCTGATGCAGTTAACACTCTGGGTGTGACCTTTAAGATTTAAATGTAACTTCTTTGATGGTTTGCATACTTGATCTGTGTCCTTGCGGTTTAGAAATTTAGCTTCATCTGGGTGATAATTTGCTCCTTTCAAAGAGCTATTTCTCAAGGTTAAATCAGTGTCTTGTGACGGCTGATTCGTCATAAGGGATGAGGATGTTGCTTGAGCCAATTTCTCTCTTTGTCTCTTAGACACGTAAGGTTTGACGCTTGGTCCTGAACTTATCAAAGATGGCATCGTTTTCTGGTTACCTGAATCGAACAATGCTGCAGATTTCGTATTTTTCTCAGTACTTGTCCGGAAATAACCACACACAGAGGTTTTGTGTTTATCATCAATTAAGGGTCCACAAAAATCATTTTGAGTACTCACCGATGAATTACAGGCGTTTACAGTCTGTTTTGATTCAGTTAGGTTATTTGAAAATAATCTACATTGCTTTCCAGGCTTGAAAGGAGATTCTAACTTTCCATTCTCGGTTTTTCTATTGCTCCCCGCGTAAATTATGATGTTATCAGATTCCGTAACCTTTGGTTTCTTTTTCGGGGACTCATCGCTCTCTTCAGACGATGAACCACTGTCGTATGCAAGTAGACCTTCCATAATTCAACGGAATATTGTAGGAGTAAAGTTAATACGGTGCCGCCATTTTGATTATACAAACTCATCCCCAGGATCTCTCGGAAAAATAATTCAAGATGGCGGAACCCGGAAGTAAACTACCCGGAAGTAAAAGCCTAAATTGCAAACGCGGAATTTACAAATTTTATTTGACTATTTTTTCCTCAATTTTTCTGTTGCAGCTCTAATAGAAAGTGATAAGATATTCTTCGTCTGAAATCAACCATAAACAACTAAAAACACAATACAACTGGCGTTTTTGATAAACGGTGCTTCTTTTAAACGGGATTAGTCTCTGCAATCAAAACCAAAGAGTGATCACCTCGTCTATGTGTGGCA